GGTCCAGCAGCGAGGCAGATGGATGGGGGCCAGGGAGGAGGAGGAGGAGGAAGGCTCTGCGAGCAGCGGGGAGAGGGTCTTACAGACATCTCCAGCTCTGCCCTTCTCTCGGCTCCCCCCAGCAGCTCTCAACCTGCCTAATTAGCTCTCCCCGCTCTCGCAGTCCAGCTGGAGCTGGAGGGCAGGGGCAGACAAAAGCCTCCCTATTGACAGCCCCTCCGAGGAAGGGGGCTTTTCTTCTCCCCCTCTGCTTTTCTTTTCAAGCCCCTCTCCCCCCGCTTGGGCCTGGGCCATGGGCTCATTAGCGCTGGGGCTCGTTGGGAGCGGGAGGGAGCAGATGGCAGCCAGGCCCTGCCGCCGCCTCTTCCCGCACAGCAGATGCCCGACCAACAAGGGGGAGGATTAACAGGAGCGGGGGGTCACGGGCACGACGAGGCCATTGGTGGGGCTTCCTCCCCACCCACAACACCCTGATGGCTGCTGGGGACGGATGGGGTTCGGGGCCATCAAAAAGGTGGCCAAGGAAAACAGAGGTTGGGATGGAAGAGAGAGGGGACCTTCCGCTGAGTCACAGGGGGATTGAAGCCACCTTCTGCCCTCGCTGGGGAAACTGTGAACCCCCCGGCACTGCAGTGTCACAACTGCTCGTGCACAGTCCCAGCACAGCCAAAGGTGACACGCTGCCACCCTTGTCCCAGCAGCAAGCAGTGCCCAGACCCATCACCAAGATCACCCGCCATGGCAAACCAGGCGGCCAAATGGCACTTAATCCCACTCCAGCGACACAGCCCTCCCTCCCCCAACCCCCCCTTTCCGTGCACAGCACATCCCGGGGGATTAAGGGTTAAAGCACAAATCCCCTGCTCTGCCCTGATGTGACCCACTTAGGCCATCTGGCAGGGAGGGATGCAGGAGCCTCCTTTCTCCCAGGGCTGCCCGTGCTCACCCGGCATCACCGGCTGCCCCGGGAGCCGACACCGGCACCGCAGCCCCAGCCTCAGCAGAGCTCTTGCTTTTCATGTAGAAGTGGATTTCGGCTGAGTTTTGGGGGCGCTGGGGACAGGGTAACCTGTGCCATGCTGCCGTGGCTGGTGGTGTGGGAGTAGGGAACACAAACACCCCCAAAAGCATCCTGTGAGCCCCCAGGCTGCTACCAGCTCTGGGTCCCGGGCGGGGGGGTCCTGGAGCATCTTCCAGCCCAGCTACCCCCAGCCCCCACGGGCTCCCCATCAGATGGGTGCTTGTGAAATAAGCAGAACACTGGGGCAATCAGGCTGCAGAGCATGGATGGGGCTCCTGACATCCACGCTGTGGCCAGGGTCATGGTGAAGGGGCCAAAAGCCCCACCAAGAGGGAGGAAAGGGGGTCCCGGTCACAGGGCCAGCGATGCCCGTCTGCAAAGGCTGGGCAGAGACTGGTGGCACCTTATCACTAGAGGTTTAAAGAGTTATCAAGAGCCGAAGTCCCTTGCAGCTGCCCGGTGGGATCGCAGCATCCTTATGGAGCAGCTAGAGGGAACGGGAACACCCCAGCTCAGTGAGGGGTTTGGGGCAGGGCAGGGGGGTCCTGTCCCTCACCCCAGCCCTCTGGGCACACAAACACCTCGAACCAACCTGGGATTTTGCACACACTTGAGCAACCCCCTCAACAAAGGCAAGCACCAAGCAGCCCCAGGGCTGCCCAGCCTCCCCACCCACCCACCGGGTCCCTCACCCCCAGCCCCAAAAGCCCAGCCCCCGGCTGCACGGTGAAGCCCAGACAGGTCCCAAAGGTTAATTGGAAAAGCTCCTTTCCCTATCGCCTCGGTTTTTCCTTTCACACTGCAAACTGGTCAATAATCCATTTACTTTAGCAGAGCCCTGCTCCGGGCCTGGAGCTGCATCGGGGGCCAGAGTGAGTGTCCCCCCCAGCCACGGCAGGACCGAGAGGGAAGGGATTAATGTATTCTTTTGTTCCAGGATGAACCATGGGTTTAGCAGAGCTTTAACCCTCTGAACCTCCCAGGGAATTTAGATGGAAGAGGCTTTATCTCTGGGACCAGCAGCAAGGTGGTGGCCAGGGATGGGGCACAGGGAAGAGCTGGCTGGAAGGAGAGAAAATATCTACCCCCGGAACCCCACGGCTGCCCCACAAGGATGCAGGATTGAGCCATTACCTGTGCCCAAGGCACCCTGCGGGGATGGATTTTGGCTATGGCCACTGTGGGGACTCCTGGCAGGACCCCCACGTTGCAACCAAGCCCCTTGGCACCCCACGAGGGCATGGGACCAGCCAGCAAAATTAACGGGGAGACGGGCAGCGCTGGCCTAGAAACCCCACTGTCGCCTCCACCGCTGCGGGAAGCACGGGGCCGGATCCAGGGCAGGGATCTGCAGCGTTTGCAGAGGAGCAGCTGTCAAGTGTGGGAGAAAACCAAAATCCAGATGGTCATCTTAATTTTTCATTTGGCTAACTGGTCTCCCCATCTCCTCTCTGGTGCGCTCAGCTCGCTGGCACTGCAGTCATTTGCTCTTAAATTAGCCGGGAGCATCGTCAGGGAAGCAAGACCAGCCAGCAAAATTAATGGGGAGACGGGCAGCGCTGGCCTAGAAACCCCACTGTCGCCTCCACCGCTGCGGGAAGCACGGGGCCGGATCCAGGGCAGGGATCTGCAGCGTTTGCAGAGGAGCAGCTGTCAAGTGTGGGAGAAAACCGAAATCCAGATGGTCATCTTAATTTTTCATTTGGCTAACTGGTCTCCCCATCTCCTCTCTGGTGCGCTCAGCTCGCTGGCACTGCAGTCATTTGCTCTTAAATTAGCCGGGAGCATCGTCAGGGAAGAGAGGCCGATCGGAGCAGCGAGCGACGCAGCGAAAACCTTCAGGAAAAGCAATCCCAGAGTGGAGCCGGGCGCGGAGACGGCTGCGAGAGGAGCCGCTGCCAGCCCTGGGGGTGTTCTCCCGGCCGACGGGGAGCAGGAGCCAGCTCTGGCTGTGGCTGGGCTACAAACCTGGTGCTGTTTTGGGGTGCTGGGGACATCACTGTGTACCCCAGAGGGATGTGGCATCTCAGAGGTGTGACCCTGCCAAAGCAGCAGTGTTGGGCTCCCGGCAGAGCCCTGTGCAGTGCAAGCCAAGCTGGCAGCTCTTAGGAGAGGAGCCGGGGACTGCGGTCCTCCTGCTCCCTCAGTCTTTGGCTACAGCCCCCCCCGGGCAGCAAAGACCCTCCATGGCAGGGGGGCAGGGGTGAGCACAAACACCCCCCCAGCCCCCAGGGAGAGTCCCCCCACTTGGGCTGACCCCGCTCGACACCTGTAGCGAGGGCGGCAGCGCAGATGGCTGCACGGCGGGGAATATCCCGGGGCCCCGGCTGGCGGCACACGCTGCGAGGAGACAAAAGGAGCTGGGCTGCACCAACACAGGACCCGGCAGCGTCGTGGCTGGATGTGCAGAGCACACCACATTTCGGGGACCCCATCGCACAGGATTTGCCGGTGGTGAGGTGCAAAATCTGAGCTGGCGGGTCCGTTTTGCCGGGTACTGAGAGCTCCTGACCCCTGCACAGACGGCTCCCCTGCCACTGGAGCTGGCGTTGCCAGCCAAACAGAAAGGCATGTGCCTTGATTAACTTTTTAACAGTGCTGCAAACCCTCCCAGCTGCGGTCCTCAGCCCGACTGGGATGTCTGTGGCAATCCCAATTGCCATGTAGAGCTGTGCATCGTCCCCAGTACTCAGGCTTGCTGTATTTCTCCAATGCCCTAGTTTGTTGCACTATTACATCTCTGACTGGGAGATGTTTAAGCAGCAGGGCTCGCTCCGGCACATTCAGGCAGGAGAGAGTGTGTGTGTGTGTGAGAGCCAGCACCCAGCCTGCTGATGGCCCCTTTGGGTGCCAGCTGTAGCCCGATGCAGGGGAGGAGAAAGCCACAGTGGTCCCTCTCCCCAGCAAAGGCTGAAGTCCTGCAAACACTGCCCGTGGAAATGAGATTCGCTCTTCTCTTTCAGAAGCCTAAGCTGAGTCTTTCCCAATTTCCTACCCTGGTTAACGGCAATCAGAGAGAACGGAAAAATTCATGCTCAAGCAGCTGGGCCACGGGGACAGAAGTGACCCCCTCAGGACCCCCATCCCACTCACTGCTGTGGCTCACAGCCTCCCCCAGCACAGGAGGCATCCCAAACGGCTCGCTCCCCGCGAGCCCTCTGCTCTTTAGTACAGGCTGAGCCCCTGACACCCACCCACTGCAGATCGAGACCCTCTCCTCTACCCACCCATCGCCTTCATGAAACTTTGGGTTGGTCCTCACAGTGGATGGGGAGCAACCAGCACTGGAAATGCAGAGCAGAGAGAGAGGAGAACCAGAAAAAAAAGCCTCCTTTCCTTACAAAAACAGTGCAAAGAGGGTATTTTTAAACAATATTGAGTGCAGCCACCCTGGAAAGCCGTAGCCTCCCAGCTACATGTCTCTGGGGTGCATCAGCCTCCTCCTGCACCAAGGCAGGGTCCGGCTAGAGGGGGGGCTTCTCCCCTCCCTGAGCATCACCTTCCCAAGGGTCCCTGGTGAAGGAGGGGTGCAGAGACCAGACAACCAGCAGGACACGCACCCCGGGGGTCTGCAAGGCAGGGATGGAGACAATCACACCTTCTGGCTGATGACCCCTACCACTGCCCCCATACCTCCATACCTCAGCTAGACCTTCCCAGGCCCCCACCCTGCTCCCCTCCCCGGGATGCAGCCAGCTCCTGGGCTCCAAGCTCCACCAAGCCTAAGTTTCCCAAGCCTGCTCCCCTCTGGAGCACAGCACCCACCCGGGGAGGGGGTGCAGCCAGCCAACATCCCCTGCCCCAGGCACTGGGGGGGTGCCAGGGTCCTCCAGCCCCTAACCAGAGGTGGGGGGAGGCCACACTCCAGCTCCTCCTGATGGGGAGTGGGGGGCTTTACTAATTGGGGATGGGGAAGATGCTCGGGGTGGTGCCGGAGGCGAGATGAGGGGGTGTCCCTGAGCCCCCCCCCCCCCCCCCCCTGGGCAGCGGCTTGCGGGCCGTGATGCTGGCCACGATGATGCTCTCGGGTCGCGGCGTGGCCACGGCTTTGAAGGTCCCTCGCCAGAACTTCTCGAAGAGCTGCTTCTCGCCCTGCTGCACGCTGGCCATGGCGTGTGTGTGTGTGTGTGTGTTTGTGTGTGTATGTGTGTCCCACCGCCTTCCCCGGGCACTCCCCGC